GGAGCTGTGTATATAAGGGGGGGGGAGTGAATGATGTGAGAGTTGAGAGTTTGAAGAGTTATGGAGAGTTAGAGTGAGAGTTGAGTTAGGGCATGAAGTACTGAGTTAGTTAAGGTCTGAGAGAGAGTGTGTATGAGGGGATACTTTATTATTACTGATTGCCTTTTATCTTAGTTGATAAAGTGATTTACCATTCCTTCTGTTGTTATCAATAAAATACAAGTTTTTATTTTTAAAATCATACATTTGTCTGAAGAATCTTATGAAGGAGTGGTTGGTGGCAGCGTAAATAAAGTGTGAATGAGAGAGTGTCCTGACCATTGTGACGTGAAAGAGGGACGTCACAGGTGCTTCCTGAAAAGGTTATCAAAAGTGAGCGGGCAGAAGGTGAGAAACAAGAGGAGCTTTATACTAGCAAAGTACAGTGGTGCCTCGCATAGCGACGATAATCGGTGCAGCAAAAATTGCTGCAAAGCGATTTCGTCGCTATGCGATTTTAAAAAGCCCATAGGAATGCATTGAAACCCCTTCAATGTGTTCCTATGGGCTTTAAACTCACCTTAAAGTGAAAATCCTCCATATGGTGGCCATTTTCGCTGCCCGGTAAGTGAGCAATCTGTGTGAAAACACAGCGGGCAGCCATTTTTTGTACCCAGTGGCCATTTTGGAACCACCAATCATCTGTTAAAAAATCATCGCTTTGCGATGATCGGTAAGCAAAAAGGGTACCGATCATCGGAAAGCGATTTTCCCCATAGGGAACATCGCAATGCAATCGCAAAAGTGATTGCAAAATCTTCGGCGGTATGCGATTTCATCGTTAAACTGGGCGCCCGTTAAGCAAGGCACCACTGTATGCCTTTTCTTGGCTAAGTGTGAGAAGCCTGTTCACCTGTAAAACTGTGTTTGAATATATCTAAGTATTACTTCCACCAAATTTTATGTTGTATGCCGATTTTAAAAGCATTCCCTGAACTCCCTCATCCAAGTACAGTGGTGCCTCGCTTAGTGATTGTATTCACTTTGCGATGGGTTTCTTTGAGGAATTTTCTGCATCGTTTAACGATGTTGTCTATGGGGGAATTTCACTTAACAGTGTCCGTTTTTGCTCATTTAAAACTGTCTTAAATGTTTGAAACCTGTTTTAAATGCTTGGAATAGTCATTTCAGCAATGTGGAGAGGGGGGATCTGCTGCTTGGGTAACAGCCTATCCTCCACATTACCTTACCCGGGCTTCATGTTCTGGAGAGGACACTCCTCAATTCAGAGCATGTTACCATAGTCTCTTGAGACTGAAGGATGCCTATGTAATAGTTAGCCCACCTTGTGAAACCTATGCACACTTAGTTTGGCTTTGTTCTGAGTCTTCGTTAATTTTTGGTGATTTTTTGTTTTCCCCATTTAAATCCATTGAACGGACAGTCCAATGCTTTTCAATGAGGGAAAAACAAAAAATCACCAAAAATTAATGAAGACTCAGAACAAAGCCAAACTAAGTGTGCATAGGTTTCACAAGGTGCACTACCGATTCCAAGCACTTAAAACAGGTTTCAAAGATTTTAAGACACTTAAAAATGAGCGAAAACGGACATAGGAAAGCCATTGAAAAGCAGCCTCCTTCCTCGGTGGGAAGGTAACAGCATTCCGTGTCTAAGTCGCACTGGCCATGTGAACACGGAAGATTGTCTTCGGACAAAACGCTGGCTCCATGGCTTGGAAATGAGGATGAGCACCGCCCTCTAGAGTCAAACACAACTGGACAAAAATTGTGAAGAGGAACCTTTACCTTTACCTTTATTTACTGCCTTGAAAGGGAAGAGCAGTTAAAAGAATATGGCCAGAGGTGTGAAGGAGGTCAGAGGCAAGGGGAGTGCAGTGGCAAATCTGACACCAAACTGTGTCCTTCACCTGTCATTTTGAATCCAGTCCAACACATTGGGGTAGACATGGTCAAACTGTTGCTCAGAGTTACCCTGAGGGGAAACAAATTCAGTCTGAATCTCACGGAATGTGCAACACGTTATCTCGAGGCAGTTCCCCTGAAGAATATTGAGGCTCAGAACATTGTAGATGCTCTGCTGAGGCAAATGGGTAGCAGGAAGTTTATTTCTGAGCTCTTCAAGTTTCTAGGAACCTATTTCCCTTCTAAGATGATGCAAGCAACCTCCCAAGTGAACAAGGGAGATTACATTGAACTGTTAAAGGGAAAGACAGGCAGGATAGTGGACCGGGTGAAAATGATCATGCCCTACTGTAGGAAGGAAAAGGTTGTCTTGCTGTCATTGAAAGGAGCAGACAGTGAAAGCCTCGAGTTATCTTATGGGGAAAGGAGGGGGGAACACAAATATACCCCAGAGGAGGACCAAATCAGTCCCTCAGTAACCCCAGAACAACAAAGAGAAGCTAGAGCCGTGCTTCTGAGGGGCAAGCATGTTTGATCCAACGAGCCCGAAGTAGCCAAGGGTGTAGTGCACAGGTTTGACACCGGGGTTGCACACCCACAGGCAGTTAGACTGTATAGAGAACGAACCTATCTAGCCAAACTTTGGGGCCGGAAAGCAAAGTTGGG